AAGCTGCCCCCACTCTCAGGGCACTCACGTCGTAGAGGGCGGTGCTGTTCCCTCCTTCCTGGAGCAGGGCAGGGTTGAGGAAGCCCAGGGCAGGCAGCTTTGCTCTACTTTTGCAATGTGCCGCCGCTGCGTTCGACGTGCCGGCTCCGCAGGCTCACCCCATTGAGCCCCTTAAACCTCTCTGGTGCAACAGTCAATGGGGTGAGCCTGCGGTGCCAGTACCTCGAATGCCCCCCCTTCTGCCTCTTAGCGTCCCCAAGGGGGCTGGCAGAGAAGCGCTAAAAGGTGGCAGTGGGGCATTCAAGGCATCGGCACTGCAGGCTCATCCCATTGACTGTTGTACTGCTCTGGAGTCGGCACCTCGAATGCAGTGACGGCGGCTTTGCTTTACTTTCCCAAAGTGCTGCCGCTTCTGTCTGTCTATCCATCCATCCATCCATCCAAAAGGTCTGTCTCTCTGCTTGCCTTCCTGCCTACCTGCCTGCCTGTCTTTCTGTCTACCTACCTACCTACCTACCTGTATATCTATCTACCAATATATACCTATCTACCTACCTATCCAAACATCCATCCAATCTATCTACCAATATATCTATCTACCTACCTACCTACCTACCCATCCATCCATCCATCCAAAAGGTCTGTCTGTCTTCCTGCCTGCTTGCCTGCCTGCCTACCTACCTACCTATCTACCTACCTACCTGTCTCGCTCTGTCTCTCTGGCTATCCATCCATCCATCCATCCATCCATCCATACATCCATGTTGGAAAGAGAGAGAGGGGGTGGTGGGAGAGAGGGAGGGAGGGAGAGAGAGAGAGAGAGAGAGATTTTGACCTGATGCATCAGATTGAAATGAGGCCTAGCTTAGACTGAGGTCCTTTTCCACATTGAAACATCTTTGGTTTCTATTAAAGGTTTACTGGACGAAACATGGTAAGACTATCAGGAAGCTCCCACATTTTGTTGAGGTTTTAACAGGAACCATTGGACCAGATATCTACCCTAAAAATTACTTTTCCCCAATGTATTACAGTGCCAATTCTGAAGAAGGCAAAACCAAAATGTACTGGTAAATTACAAGGAGAAACACACACACACACACACACACACACACACACACACTCCCTTCTAACCCTGCTGGAGCAGGTGATTGGACTAGAATATCTTTCTCCTCCCTCCCTCCCGCCTTATTTCTTTTTGTCCCTTCCTTCCACCACCACCCTTTCTTCATCTGTCCCTTTTTCTTTCTTTCTTTCCCCTTTCTCTTTTTCTTCCTTTTCTCTTTCTCTTTTCTCTCTCTCTCTTTCCCTCTCTCAGGCTCACCCCATTGACTTGGTGCACTGCATTGCTCGGACTTGCTTGGGCAGGTCCCTCCGATGCAGCGGACTCAATAGGGTGGACCTGCGGGGCTGGCACCTAGAAAGTGGCAGTGGCTGCACTTTTGAAAAGTCGAGCAAAGCCAAAGGTTGGTAATTTTTGCTGCAAAGAATCACAAAAGCTTCTGGGTTGTGCACAAGAAGGGACACACATGTCAATGCAAATCAGCAACATAAAATAATGAAATAAAAATAAAACAAATCAAGAAGAATCGGCAAAGCATCTCTGATTAGATTTTATTCACTACTAAAATCTAATCAGAGATGCTTTGTCGATTCTAGTCCAATGACCTGCTCCAGCAGGGTTGGAAGGGAGTGTGTGTATATGAGTGTGCATGGCTATCAAAACTCCAAAACAGATCAAGTAGCTCTGGGGAGGCCAGTCATAAATTAGAACACTTGCTAAACAACCAGCCATTAAGTGAGGACCACTTGTATTTGGTTTGCCAGTCACCTGGCCATACCCACCCAGTCACATGACCAGCAAGCCACGCCCACCCAGTCACGCGACCAGCAAGCCACACCCCCAAATTAGGCCACACCCACATAAATTTAAATCCCACCCCTGGGTGGGGGGCACCGAGGATGAGTTTGTAGCACAAAGGGGGCAGTGGACTGAAAAAATTTGGGAACCACTGATCTAATGCGTGCATCCTTTTCTTTCTTCTGGGAAATATCAGTAAACTGTAGATTCCATATTCAATAGTCCACACAACACACATTTTGCAAATATGGGAAACATGCCAACAACTCAGTTTCAAGGTTTATTCTTATTTTGCTTTTAACAAACATTTTAGTATGAAGGCATTTTTTGTTAGTGTTTTTAGTTAGGCATGGCACAGACAAAAGGGAAAAAAAACAAAACGAAAATCAGATTCATCAGCAAGTCCAGCATTTAAATGGCAGATTAAGAAAAGAGCCTTGTATTAACCCTATGTAGAAGTCTGTATTATTTCTTAGAAGATATTTTGCAAGCAAAGTACTACAGTTATTTGCATTGAAGTAAAAACGTATTTTTGATCAAGAAAATTACATTTTTCTGACTTTCTTTATATCACAAATGTCACAAAAACCCTATTTCCCAAGAAAATATATCCAACGTATTTGGCTAACTTTGTCATTTTAAAAGCAAAGCAGACATGCGCTGCATATAGAGACAATGCATATTTTGTTCAAATCAAGTGTGTCAACTGAGGAATGTTAATTCATAAAAGAGAAGGGGAGGGAGTCATTGTTTGGGAGATGAAATACAGTTAGCTGCATCGAACAATATATTGCCTAATATTAATTGAAAATAATGTCTCAGTTACCTGCTCTGTATGTTTTCATGAAAAAAGAGGCAAGTCTAGTACCCATAGAATTGCTACAGCAGAACATCAATGTAGAAGGAGTACATTAAACACAGGTATCTCGAAATAATGCAAAGTCCCCTCTTTGGGGGCAGACCTTTCATCTCAATGCTCAAAGCATTGTGAAAATGGCCATGGAGGATGAGGGGGGGGCCAAGAATTTGTACTCTTTACCTGTCTGTAAATTTGAGTTAATATAAAAATCCACATTATTCAGAACGTACTGTCCAGGCATCCCTAAACAGTAACAAAACTGATTCCAATTGCTATTAGAGAGTGTCTGGGTAGGACTAGCCAAAAGAAAGTAATAGTATTATTATCTACCTGGTTGGTTGTAGGCAAGCAACCTTCTCCAAGCCTAGACTTCCAAGTGAGAAAAATAATAATTTATACAGTCAAGTTGGAAATCAGACAGTTGAGATGTCATCAGATCTTTTCACCTTCATAGTGCAAGAATCCTCTCTTTACTTCATTCTTGGTGACAGCATAGTGACGTAAAGCATTTACATCCAAGAGAAGCGTCACTATCAATGAGAATCAAAATGAGGATGTTGGGAGTAGTGAAGAAGTCCGAAAAGACGGCTATGATCGAATATGAGAAAATGTCTACTAATCAGAATATTTTGCTCACACATTTTTTTCTGAGATCATTCAGATTTAGTCAAAGTTTCCGTTGCTTTCTGTGCTTATTTTTCTAACTCTCTTCTTGGCCTCATTAATACCCTCCTTTTTGTTCCTTTCTAATACTTAAATACCACAATGCTTAAGGAGATTGGGGAGCGAAATGGCAAATTATGACGATGCTTTATCAACCCATATTCTAATCTTTAGGAATAAATAGTATCTTTCAGCTGTGTCATTTCCAAGAACAGACGAAAGAATATTAATACATTCCTTGCAAGGCTTTTTTTGAGGGGGAGGGAATCTATAGGGTTGGTGCATATTCCTTGTTGACCTCAAAATTTTAGGATTGGGAGAAATAATATGTCTCAAATGATGGAGATTTACTGCCACCCAGTACAAGCATGCCACAGGTGGCACGCAGAGCCATTAGTGCCGGCACGCAAGCTGCAGGCAAACTTACCTCACTGGGCATGCGCGTGTGTCACAGCTGATTTTCGGCTGGTTTAAGGCCTTTTTTGGCCTCCCAAAGGCTTGAAGAAGGCTTCTGCAGGCTTTGCAGGCTGAAAACTTAGCCCCATTTTGTCACTGTCTGTTTTTCTGAAAATACAGGAAGTGACAAAACAGGGCTAGTTTTTGGCCTGCAAAGCCTGCAGAAGCCTTCTTCAAGCCTTTGGGAGGCCAAAAAAGGCCTCAAACTGGCCGAAAATCAGCTGTGAGATGTACTGCAGGTAAGGGGGAAGCATGGTTGGGTGGGGATTATGCACACATGCGTAGGGGGCATGGGGGGGGTGCATTGCCTTCTGGGTGCTGGCACGCGAGTACGAGCATGCAAGCGTGCACACAATTTTTGGCACAGGAGCTCAAAAAGGCAAGCCACCATTGCTCTAGTATCTAATGCTCAAACAATTTCAACTCAGAATCCATAAGCTTGTTCCTGTGTAGCACAAGCTGCAAGAAAATGAGTATTTAATTAATGCACATATGGTTTACCTAACTACACACAGGCCCTATGAAAACATCATGAACTCAGTCTGCAAAACGTCTGTTGTATTTACGCATTTCAATGTAAGTAAGCCCCCTCAACTCAGGGAGGCATAGTTAGCAGGAATATTCCTGCCACTTTCCTGTTTAAATGTTTCACCTCGGCTTCATGCTTTGCTATCGTACCCCAAAGCAAGATATTTTGGGCAGAGATGTGAACCGGTGAAGGAAGTCATTTTCACTACTCGAAACATATTTACTGGGATTAGAAGACCATTAGGTCTCTGTAACTGTTTACTTTTGGAACACAATTCTAAATGCAAATTTTTGTTCCAATGTTTATTTTAGAAATTTATATAGATTGTACCAGATTGGAGTGGGAGGCTCAGAGAGATATAAACTTTACAAAGTGGTCAACATTTTCCTTTTCTTTCTTCTGCCACCAACAGAGGTCCCCCCCTTATAATAGCAGCAACTTGGGGCCTCTTTCTTGGTATTCCCAGGAACAACCGTGTGACCATGCAACATTTTATGGCCATGTTTCATAAAATTCCAGAAGTGGGATAGCAAAGTCTTCTTCACTTCAAAGTGCTCAGTGATGCTGAAAGCATGTCTGAAGTATTGAAGGATTAAAACAAGCTAGAAAAGACCTCTCAGCCACCTTGTAAAGTTTATACAAGCCCAGAAGGATGAAGTATTTCTTTCCTAAGTTTGCATGCAGTGGAATCCAGGCTAGAATTCTTTTTAAATCCCACCATCATGTATTACATATTGTAGTGGATTAAAAAAAAATCTCATTTCATGCATGACTCCAATAGGGCAAGGAGATCTATGCAATGAAGGTTGCCTCACTTGTTTGGATTTTGTTGCTTTTGTTGAATTGTGATTGTTCATGTTGGATGGCTAACTACCGTAATTCTTTGAATCACAGGCAACTGAAACAGAAATGACAGCTCAGTGGCAAGGAGAACTAGAGGGAACCATCAAGCAGGAGTGGAGAAGTAAAGAGGCACATGTGCTCCATGGATGAACGGGGGACTAAATATACATTCTTAGTAAGCATATCAAAAATATCAGATGGTATCGATATAAGTATAACCAAACATTTTATATATTTCATTGAAATCTAAATTCATATTAATCTGGATGATACTGTGCTTATGTCGTAACTAAAAAGAATCTTCCAGGCCACCAATATAATGAATGGTTCAAAAAGAGAAGAGAAACTAATAGTTGAATCTATAATATTTTTAGGACGCGATGGTTTTTGAATACATAAGTATTGCTTATAAGGCAACAAAGCTATGTATCTATTTAAAACCAATTTTCTTTTTTTAAAAAAAAAAATCTTTCTACAAATTACATATCAGGAACCAATTCATATTTGGGTATTCTACTGTAAGCATAAACAATGGTGACTATTCATCTGAGATTTGTGTTGGAGATTTACAAGTAAGCCAAGGCTGGTAAATTTCAGCTTCCTTTCATGTGCATACACCTTTGTTATATTTGGAATTATTTTTAAAAGTTTGGAAGATGGTACATATGCATAATTACGCAAAACCAGCATCTCATAATACAAAAAAACCTTCTTGTAATTGTTTTTAACAGCAGTTGGAAACTAGTTTACAGAATATCAAGCTTGGACCCATGCTGAGTGTTCTTTCAATCTTGCAAGTAGGGTATCAGTTTAATTTACAATGTAGTTGAAAAATGAATGTAAAACTTTTTGTTTTTTTCAGTTGAACCCAGCATTTGCTAGCAAAACAGATGACATTTGGTACAACATTCATCACCAATATTCTGTTAATTGCATTTTATATATTTAAAAAGTGTGCATATGCAGTTGAAAATGTAACAAGAGTAGGCATGAAATTGTTAAAGCCACAAGCCATATTACCATGTGCTAGATGCAGAGTATTTGCAACCCCTCTTACCCAGAGGGCACTGGAATTAATAGGTACTTTAGACATGTCCAAATACCTCAGAGGTGCTCACCTATTAGTAGGCAATGCAATATTGAGCTGTGGAGAAATACCATTAGGATAGATAAAAGGTTTCATGCCATGAGTAGATTTGCAAGGAAGTGGCTGATTACGGGGATTGTCCTATAAAAATTTAACCTGTTAGAGATATTCCACATCTTGGGATGCTTACAAACAGGAAAGAGAAATCCATGTCCTGATTTTGGGGGCAAAGAAAGTTATTCTCCTGAACATGGACGATCCTTTCTTCGGTATTGTGACTCTTATTCATTGAGAGATGCATTTTCATACATGTTTGCATTCTGTCTGTGGACAACTTAATTATTCTCCTGGGTCTGAGTTAAAACAGTCTGAGGACTAATTCAAATGTCATTAGCTCTGATCTGGAGATGGCTAAATAGCACTTTGTGTGAGGGCAATTCTGTGCAGGAGTTGTAATCTATATTTAGTTTGATTATGGACAATCACCATTTAGAAGTGCCTTTCAGCCTCTACTTTGCACTGAGAATCTCTGCATGGGGGATCAGCCATGTGACTGGAATTGTTTTTGTCAGTCCCTAATGGAGAGGTTGTAATTTTGACATTAGTAACCCTCAAATCTTTATTCACAGTAATGTCTATTCACCCCGAATGCTTGTAGTTATACTGGCTTTTGGAAAAGTCTACCAAATGTTTATGCACTAGCATTGGCAAGTTGACTTTACCAACAAATCAAAGGATACTAGTACTTTAGCATCTTTACTTGATGGGAGTAATGACAGATGTAAGTGCTTTGTGAACACTCCAAAGAAACCGTCAGACTCTTGAAGGACAATGCTTAAAACATCCTTTGCCTATGTTGCCTTGAAGAGGAATTGCAACTGAGAGACAGTATTTAGAAGCTAACAATATATACGCAGAAGAATGGGGCCTTAGGATTTCAAAAGGAGAGGCAGAACAGATAGGAATGAGGCAAAGAAATCTAATCCATGACTCTACAACTCATAGTAGAGAAGCTTCATGTCATCTACCAAACCAACTGAACAGGAGAAGATAAACAAATATAAAGAATCAGTCAAATCCCTTAATTGCCCTCCCCTCCCCTCCCCCTCCCTATTTTGCACTCCATGGTGTGCTGCTGTCTGTTAGTCAGAATGTCATCACATAATGCACTAGTGACTGCAGATCTTCGGTCACTTCCTGCTTTCTTCTGTCATCATGGTCTTCTGGGGAGAGAGACAAAGAGAGAGAGAAAAAAGGAGCTGATGATGTAAACATTATCCAGAACACTTTTCACTGCAGAAGGAATAACCAAGGCATCTCGATTGTATTTACCTTGTTTCTGGGCTTTCTGTATGAGATGACCATGCTGAGCCTGAGGGAGGGGTCAAACGCATCATATATTATGAGTCCCTGCGTGCCCACAAGAGATCTAAGTCCAGCCCACCTTGAATGCCTTTTTAATTCCCACTCATTTCCCTTGACGGTTAGTAGCTCAGATTTTTGTAGAGAGCTTAAAGCTTTCAATAAATCTTTATACTTTGAACTTTCTAAATCTCCCAGTTGTCCTGGCACTTGACATTTACTGAGATTTCCATCTTTAGGGAACATGTGCAGAAAATGCTGTGGGTTTTTTTTTAAAAAAACTTTGGTGGATTTTGTGCGTTCTGCTTAAACAACATTCCTTAATTTTGAGGAATTTTGAGAATTTTGAGACTTGGGAAATTGAGCATGAATGTTTTGTGATAGTTCTCCAATCTTAATGTGGATAGGTCTGCATGGACATAATGAAAGTATTCATGAAAAACAAAGCCAGAGGCCAAATCTTTGAAACAGTATCAGTGGAAAGGATGCCCCCCAATGGCAGATGAACTGCATATCAAAGCAAAAGTAGGGAAGCATTTCAGATTTGGATCTACATTTCTACAAGAAATCAGGAGGAGACACTACCAAGTGTTACGTCTGTAAGATAATATGCTATATGCTTATATTCCTTAAAGGTAATGTAAGTTTGTTTATTGTAAAAGACATGGAAATGATTAATAACTATGGCCAATTATCAATTGAATATGGATTTAATCTTCAGAATGTAATTATTTAACTAATAAGCTTGGAATCATGTAGGAAGCCCTACTTCATCTTCCAATCATTTCTTTTCATAAAGACTGTCCTACTTGCATAACAGAAAACCACGTTCTACACCTGGAATGTATGCTGTTTTCCTCAGCTTTTCCATGAAGAAAGGGAGCCAGATCAAATTGCTCATATTAAAATGAAATGAAAAAAGATGAAAGAAAGAAAGAAAGAAAGAAAAAGAAGGAAGGAAGGAAGGAAGGAAGGAAGGAAGGAAGGAAGGAAGGAAGGAAGGAAGGAAGGAAGGAAGGAAACTGAGCTTTCCTACCCTTTCTGATGAATGCCAGCTAAGTAGATGGAACAGTGGGACATCAGTTCAAAACAGTCAGTAATTAATTGCAATCAGGATTGCAATTAATTCATAAATACAGATATTTATGGATGTAGGAGTTCATCTTACAATAAGACAAGAATGGTGCTGTGACAAAACTCAGGTAGCTACTTCAGCATTTTTTTTAAAAAAATCTCATTTGATATCTAAAGTTTAACCCATCAGGATTATCACGCAATATTGAACTGCATTTTGAGGAATATTGTGGCAGAAGTCACAATCTTTCTGCACATAATCACAGAGGAATTAAATTTAATTCATATATCTAAAGTAATATTTAGCAGCTTTTATTAATATAAGAAAAAAAACGATTGTGTACTGTGTCCTACAACTGATGTAGCAATTTTTAAAGTAGAAAGCCTTTTAGTGCCTTTGCCCAGAGTAGTAAGTATGCTACTTTTTTGATACATTGAAAGTTTCTAGCAGTCAAAAGTTTAAATGTTTAAGGTTGGGAGGGAGTGAAGGAGGGAGTGAAGGAGGGAGAAATCTGCTAAACATCACATAATAATATATAAATGTTAATTAGAGGAGGGTTTTTAAATGGCTGATCCAATTAGTGTCTGCTTAAAGTTCCCTGAATGCAGAGAAAAGCTTTTTGATCAAGGCGATAACATCAGACTCTGTGAAAGGTCTCGAATGAAAGGGATTCTTTGTTCTGACACTTTCCCATTTTGGGGGGGGCTCTCCTCCTCCTCTTCCCAATCAGATCTGCTGTCATATCTAAAAGCATGAAGAAGTCCTTCATCTCCCTCTCTTCCCCCACCTCCCCCTTCTTTCCCAAGTCATTATCTTTTTTTACATAACTGGTAAGCAATTACACTGCTTCATATCCTGCTATCTTCATTTCTTTTCCCTCTGCATTGGCTGAATCTCGGTAATTATTCATATTACCTCTGTATTTCCCCAAGGTTTTGTTTTATGTAAATTTACCAAGAGTCGCATTCCAGTTGCTTGCGCTGTGACGAGGGCATGGATGTATTTGTTCCTGGTTTATGGTTGTAGAGTAACATTCCAAGTGATATTCAGTGCAGAGAAACATAAGGATAAAGCTCTGCTATTACAATTCTAAAAAATGAATAGCTAATAACCTTCCAACACAAGAGCGATCCCTGAAATCCTGTTTGAGCCCAGAGTTCTTCACAGGCATTATGGCTGAGCAAACTGGGCAAGTTCCACCCAACCGCAGCTACTCTGTCAGCAGAAGATGCTTATCCTAGGACATTTTAAATTATCTCCTTCTGCAGTCCTGTGTAGCCCTTCAATCTGCACCAAAGCATCACCAGATAGATTGATACTCACCGGACAGCATACATGGACAATTTTAAAAGACATTTTGAGGAAAGGTTGCATCCAAACATTGCTTTTCCCCCCATTTGGTTTGTGTGAGCATTTGACCATCGTTGAATATGATCCACTATATTATAGTTTGTTATCTACCATCTCTCTTTCTCATCTATCATTTATCATCACACATACTTACACATTCTTAAATTAACTTTCCTTTAAAAAAAAAGAACCCTACACACAGTTGATAACATAATATAAAATATGGATGCTACCGTAATCATAACCAGACATTCTATTAAGTCTTAAGACTGCAGGTTTCTATAAAGGCACCTGAAAGTAAATCAGTAATTGAGTGAAGTTTCCACTCCTATAGATAAGGATTGGTATGTAAGGCAATTTTCTCTTGCTATTTGGCAGTAAGAAATCAGTTTTCATTATAATCTGTCAGTTTTGAGTACAGTGGTATTTCAAACCCTAAATATATTTTCCCCCTCATAATATATACTCGAGATAGTGAGGGACAGGAGGCGAGTAAAGAGTAAATTTCATCTTTAGCAACCCCAGATGAAGGCTTTCATCTTCAGCAACTCGGAGTTTCAGGGCTTCCTTCTCAAAGTGGCTTGGAAAAACCCAACTGTGTTAGCTAGGACAACGACCAACAAGTGTGTTATTACTGGTGGCACTACTTTATTTCATATAAAACCTCCCAGCTCTCCAATCTGGGAATTTGGGAAATCTGCCTTAAATCTTCCAGTTGTAGAATATAATATACATGTTACTTCACCCCAAACCACCAAAGAAGAAAGATAGCATTTCCATTCAGATAAAAACAATTTATAGAAACTAATTATATTTTTCTCACCAGTGGAGGTAATAAACTTTGAAACTATGTCTAAAATGTCAAGCACATGGCAGCTTAATTTTTAAGCTGGAGGAAGGAGGGAGGGAAGGAGAGAGAGAAAGAAAGAGAGCATGAATTAGACAGTGACACAGAAGAGAAGAATTTCAGATGCAGCCTTTTAATTTGGTGTGTCCTTTTTTTTTTTGACAACTATTTAAATGGAGGCTCTTGCAGCTCATATTTCTCTCTCCCATCTGCAGCATTGCAGTATATTGCCATTATGCTGGCAAGGACAAAGAAGTACACACAGTAATAAGACATTTTAAAATCTCTGTGACAGAACTGCCACTGTTACAAAGCTTCTATATTTGGTTTGGAGAGACATGAAATCCCATTATAGGTGTAAATAGCTCATCTTGGTGGTATATGATACCGGCATCAAGTAATCAGCACTGGAAAAGAAATGTATTTGTGGTTCTATTTGATCTATCTTGGGTAAGGATTTCAGAATTGGATTTTATAATTAGGATGTGACAGAGAATTGAGTTTTTTTTCAGGTCTTGGTTTCTGTCTACCAAGGAATCAAGCTGCTTATGTCTATGACCATAACGGTGTGTTCTCTTTCATTTCTCACATAATCAAACTCTGCAATTGCTTTTAAGTTCAGTTTCTATGAAGCAGAATAGTTCAGTAGTTAGAAGTGGCATTTGGCAATGTTCAACCAAGGGCATGAAATTCTCAGAACATACATCGATTGCTTTTGGAATATTGATTTCAGAGAGCCAGGCCTAATTCCAGCCAGTAGAAATGGCTGATTTGCTTGGCTTTTTCTTTGTAACAGTTTAGTTTATGAAGAAATCGACATTGTTGCTCCATTGAAAAAAGGTACTTCAAACAAAACTGTTTGTAATTCTCATTCATTTCCCCATGTATAGTTCCATAGTAGAATCAGTGATCACTAATCATCTCCTTCCCCAACCCCTGATATAGACCACATCAGATATTATAAGGATCAGATACAGAAAATGTAGCACTCATTTGTGCACAGGAAGGGGATGTTCTCTGTTGGCTGTTGACAGAATTGGTAAGTCTAAATCTTCTGCAGTTTGGCTCACTCTATTTCTTTTTCCTCATTAACCCCTTGGCAACTGGGTTTGGTTGCAGAAGGAAGTAAGAGGCTGGAGGACTCCATGTTCTCATCTGCAGTCAATCCTTGACCTTTCCAAGTGACTGTTGTTTGAAGAGAATTCTGTTGGTCCATTTTTCGAGTTGGGTCATGAAAATTAGCACTCTGGACAATGTGCATGGGATGGAGGATGGTTTCTTTTGACAGCATAACTGACTGCAAAGTTCTCAAAGGTAGCCTCAAAATCAGAACGCTGAGAATAGTAGTATTTATAGTGAAAGTAGGCTTTGATTTTAGGGAGTGTCGTCATGTTGTTTTGACATGTTTTTGTTCTGAGGGTCATATGAAGTGTTAGGGAGTGTTAAAGGTGAAGGTTCTCCTCACATATACGTGCTAGTAGTTTCCGGCTCTAGGGGGCAGTGCTCATCTCTGTTACAAAGCTGAAAAGCCAGAGCTGTCTGAAGACGTCTCCGTGGCCATGTGGCCAGCATGACTAAACACCGAAGGTACACAGAACACTGTTACCTTCCTACCAAAGTGGTCCCTATTTTTCTACTTGCATTTTTACATGCTTTCAAACTGCTAGGTTGGCAGAAGCTGGGACAAGTAACGGGAACTCACTCAGTTTCACAGTGCTAGGGATTCGAACGACCGAACTGCCAGCCTTTCTGATTGACAAGCTCAGCGTCTTAGCCACTGAGCCACCGTGTTCCTCATTAGGGAGTGTTAATTTTTTCTAAATGTGGAATCTTCTGTAGTGTGGAATTTTCATGAGGGGTTTGACATTGAAGATCAGGGGAGGCAAGTATTGTGATTTAGGAAGTTTCCATATCATGACTTGTGGCATCTTGCTTCCTGATTGATTTGCTGGTATCAGTTGGCTGTGTATTGTCAATTTCAATTTAAAAAGGGTTTCGGATATTTTTATAACCTTGCACAAGGTCAGGGGAGACTTTTGTGAGGAATGTGAGGGAAAAGGGAGTCTAGTCTATGTTTTGGCTAGCAGGAGTGTCACAGAGGCTTGTTTTTTTTTTTTTTTTTACTTTTCAACACTATTTGGGGATTCAAATCAGATTCATAGTTTTAGGCATATTTTGTTTTACATAGAGATTCCATTACTTTTCCTAGCTATAAAATCTATAAAAATATTACATGTGGAACAGCTATAATAAAATAGCATGGGGGCTCCTGCTTGAGCAGCATTAGAAAACCTCTGAGAACCCTTCAAATTCTGTTATTATGTAAAAACTATTTCCTATAATAGAAAGGAAAGATGAATTAACTTACCCTGAGATTAATTTTCTGTCTGTGATTGTGTAGGCTCTTCTATGTTTTCAACTTGACTATTCATTTCAACTGAAAACAAAACCGTAAAGGTTATTTTTCTGCATTCTTTTTCAGTCCGGCATTCTTTCTGAAATTCAGTAATCAAATTGTTGAACAATTATTTCATCAATTGCATTAGAACATTTCCAAATCACACTAGAGAAAAACTAATTTGACTGGCTCATTTTAAAAGAAACATTGAAATCATTGCTATAAATGTGGGAGTCTTTGGACCTGATTTGAAATAAAACATTTGATTTAATTCACTGAAATATTTTAGTGTCATTTTAACATTAGTATTGTATGTAGTAAGTAGCATTGCAATGTTTTATTATATGGCCTTATAAGAGTGTAAACATCTGTCAGTTCCTCATCCTGGATCACAGCAGGATTACCTGAGAGCCAACATGTATGAATATTATGGTTGGTTACACTCAGCCAGATGTCTAGTCAGGATTTGGTATTTTTATCCACCAATCAAGGTCCTGGAATAGGCACAGATGCTATTGTTTGATTGCGTTGAAGGCAGAGGTGGTAGCAGGTTCTGACCAGTTCTGGATATTGTGTTTGTCTGTAAGTCAGACTAAACGGCTGTGAATGTCTGACTCACAGATGAACACAATACAGAAGCCTAATGATGGCAGATGAGATTCTGCCGAAACATTGCTACAACTTTAAAAGCACAACTATAATGACGTGGGAAAATACCTGAACAAAGCTGAATACCATATATATATATATTTGTTTTCTGAGGTTTTTGCGGTTTTTCCCTGAACAGAACACACCCCCAGCCAATCAGAACACAGCCAACCTCCCAACCAATCAGAACACAGCCAAACCCCCAACCAATGAGAACACCCCCCCAGCCAATCAGAACACAGCCAAGGCCCCGCCCAATCAAGTCAAACCCCCACTAGCAGTTAAAGGAAGAAGCAGCTGCAAACTCACATTACTCCGAGAAGCACAAAGCTGAAGACACAAGCCTGAAGATGATGAATGCGATTTCGTCAAAACATTGCCAAGATACTTCCAATTGTATGCAGGAGAAAACCTGAATAACCAAAAATCTATATATATACACACACACACACATACTGTACATATACACATACTATATATATATATATAATATATATATATATTGCATATATACTGTATATATACTCTGTGTGTGTATATATACACTGTATATATACTGTGTGCGTGTGTGTATATACTGTATATATACTGTGTGTGTGTATAGAAAATTATAACAAGCCACATGAGCAAAGATATCCAACAGACGATCATACCAAGAGAAAAATCTTCCAGATGCCCCAAACTATACGGCCTCCCAAAAATACACAAGAAGGCATACCTCTCAGCCCCATAGTCAGCTCCAGAGGAGCACCACTACAAAACCTAGCTAAACACTTAGCAAAACAGCTACAGCCCCATGCTGAAACAGCAGCTTCACATGTGCAAAACTCATACCACTTCTTGGAAATGATCAAAGATCTACACGTGGAGCAAGAAGACCTGCTTGTAAGTTTCGACGTGGTTTCACTTTTCACTCAAGTCCCGATAAAAGAGACCCTTGAAATCATCAAAAATAAATACCAACCAGCTAAACACCTCATGGAACTAACAGAACACTGCTTAACCAACACATATTTCATATACAAAGGACAAAGATACAAACAAATTGAAGGAGCCCCTATGGGACCACCACTGTCACCCGTCATTGCAAACCTGTTCATGGAAGAATTCAAATCCAGAGCCCTGGCCAATGCCATCCACAAACCCAAACTATGGTTAAGATACAACGATGATACATTCATGATTTGGTCCCATGGAAAAGAAAACCTAAACAATTTCCTAACACACCTAAACAGCACACACCCCAAAATCAAGTTCACCATGGAAACAGAAACAAACAACTACCATTCCTAGATGTACTAATCTACAAAAAAACAGATGGCACACTAGGACACACCATATACCAGAAGAACACACACACCAACCTCTACCTCAACGCCCAATCCCACCACCACCCAGCACAGATAAACTCCGTGGCTAAAACACTAACCACCAGAACCAAACGCCTGGCAGACAAAACACACATAAAGACTGAACTATGCACCCTGACTAAAGTACTGACAGCCAACAGTTTCCAGAAAAGCAAAATCACCGGCTTGATCCACAAAAACACACTGAGACATAATGGAGACCCAGAAGATGAACAGACCTATGGAACAGCTGTCCTGCCCTACATAAGAGGTACTACAGACAAAATCAGTAAGATACTACACAGACATCACATCAAGACTGCCTTCAAAACAGATGGAAAAATAGCAGCCATCCTTAGAAACACCAAAGATAAAATTGACCTGGAAAACCAAGGCATATACGAAGTCCCCTGTGCATCATGCCCGGCCACATACATTGGACAGACCAATAGAAGAATAAGTACCTGCTTGGATGAAGACAAAAAATGCAGTCAAAAAGCTGGAACACACTTCCTCACTAGTCCAACACATGGAAGCCACAGGTCATAGCATCAACTTCAATGGCACCAAAACCCTAGCCACTATAGAAAACCCCAGCCACAGAATCATCAGAGAAGCCACAGAGATTGAAAAAAGACCAGAAAGCGTGAATAGAAGAGATGATTCCACCAGACTGTCAATCATTTGGAAGCCTGCACTCACAAACAAAAAAATCTCCACACCACTAGCTAGACAAGCACCTGGGCACAAACAGATCCCCCGATACCTCCAGCTCAAACACACCCAAACCAGGCACCCAGATGAAACCTAGCTTCCTACCAAATGATAGCCGTCCATTTACCCGGAGCCAAGCTGCACTAAAGGCCTCCAATAAAGAAACACAATGTTACCAGCCAATCAAGATACAAAAAGAGCCACAAAACAGACAGAAGATATTAGAAACACCAATCAAGCAGAACACAGCAAACTCCAAGCCCAATAAACACAGACCAAGACTCCCAACCAACCAGGATGAAGATAAAACCATTCTGGCACAGCAATAGGCTGCCCCAAATTTAAATCTGAAACCACTGTAAAAGTCTGACTCACAGATGAACACTATACAGAAGCCTGATGATGGCAGATGAGATTCTGCTGAAACGTTGCTACAACTTTAAAAGCACAACTACAATGACGTGGGAAAATACCTGAACAAAGCCGAATGCCATATATATATACATCTATCTATCTATCTATCTATCTATCTATCTATCTATCTATCTATC